ACCGCCGGCGCGGGCGCCTTCCACGGCGCGGCAGCAGCGGCTGCAGCGGCGGCCGCGGCCGCCGGGGGGCACACGCACTCGCACCCCAGTCCGGGCAACCCGGGCTACATGATCCCGTGCAACTGCAGCGCGTGGCCCAGCCCCGGGCTGCAGCCGCCGCTCGCCTACATCCTGCTGCCGGGCATGGGCAAGCCTCAGCTGGACCCCTACCCTGCAGCCTACGCCGCTGCGCTATGACCCCGCGGGGCTGTCTTGCGAGGACCAGTGTGCACACGTGTACATATGTATAGGTACGAGCTCTACGGCCTCTCCGTGCGCCCTCCCGCGACAGGGGCCCCGGTTTATATGTACATAAGATGTATAGGTGCCAGGCAGAGGCAGAGATGCCAGTCGGGGCGCGAGTGGCCGAGCGCGCGAGTGCGCGGGCGAGTGTGCGTGTGGATTCACAGGATCATTTCAGACCCACACTTCGGCAGCCAACTTGAAAGAGGGCGATTGCATCCGGCAGCAGTTGGTGTTTGCTTTGCACTTCGGAACCTGTTGCATTTTGGCCCATAGAGGTGGAGGAGTAACTTTTGACATGTTGGGCTTTCCAGTTTCGTTTGTTGGAAGTTTATTGTCGGTTTTGTTTTTGTTTCTCATTATCTTCCTTTTTTACCCCCTCCTGGTCTGTGTTGCATGCATCTGTTCAAATCTTAGGTCTGAAATGGCTGGCACAAGGGAAAAGCTGATCAGTGTCATTAGTTTCTCGGAGCGGGATGGCTTTGAGCAGCCTTGCTCCCTATTTGTACTATTTGAACTTTGCAAATCTCTGTCCTCTCAAGCAGAACCCCCAGACCGGATCCATTCTTGACCAGTGACCGGCTCGAATCTGGCCCTTTGTATGTGAGATGATCACGGTTTCTTTTGTTTATCACGCCATTTGCAAATCAGAGCAAGAGCTCTTTCTCAAGAGCAAGGAACGCAAACAAGAAATGTGTGAGATGAAAAGTTATCAATTGGATTTTCTCCCTTAAAAAACAAAACAAAACTACTAGAAGTCTCCCTGAGTCCGCTCGCCTGGATTTCTGACACGGTTTACAGAAAGGGAAAGGCACGGTTCCTGTTTTCCTCTTATGGCTGAGTTCACCTTAAGATGTAAATGTGTATATGTCAGTGAAAACTTTGAGTCTTTGAAAATGTATTTGCGTTGCCCTAAATTTGAGTCGGTTTTAGACTCTAAAGCGTTTTGAGCAAATGTCAAAGTTAACTTTTAAAAATTGCGGGACTATTTCAGAATCGCAATTTTTATCTAAGATTAAATCAGACTTTTTTGTCTGAGTGGTAATTATATATTTATTATTTAGCAAAATTGAAAAAAAAACCCAGAATTATTTTGACAGATGTCTCTCAATTTCAGCTAGCAGTTCTCCACCAACTTGAACCGTTCAAATGTGTTTTGGAGTTCCCTCCCCAATTAGCTTATTTTTTAGATCACCTGCAATTCGTTTGCAAGTTATGATAAAACACACTTTAGAGAAAAGAAACCATCAATTATAGGGTTTTTTTTGTTTCTTTTTAAATGTATATATTTTGACTAATGTTTGTGAATGAAGTTGGCTAACATGTATTTAGTTTCATTTTGGCTTTATGTAATATAAAGTTTTTAAAAGTTTAAGTATTGGTTTTAACCTTTATGTGTAAATGATTTTCTTGTGTGATCTAATTTAATATTAGACGTCTAAACTATATCTGTAAATTAGAATCCAACTATCACTCTGTTCATTTTTTTTGAACAAAGAGTTTAAATAAAGCCTGAACCAGGGAAAAGAGAAAATCCTCTATTTCTTGAGTTCCTAACAAGATTTTTATCTGAATTGCCTTTAACGTGCCTGGTCCAGGTGAAGTGTAAGGTATCCTCCAAAGGCAGCCTTTGTTTCACTTTTGAATAGATTTACTAGGAAATCTAAATCAACCCATTGTTATTCAGAGCCAAAAACCTGATTTATCACATTTTTAATCGTGAATAGGAAAGAAGATAAAAAAAACCCAAGTAGTTGTATTATCTTGGGGAAAAAAAGGCATTCATGAACCAGTAGAACAGAGTCCATTGAAAACATCCAGACCGTTCAAAGCATTTCACTAGTTTCCAGTAACATTCTAAGAGGAGAAAGTTGCCCGACCACTTTATCTTGTTAGTAGGAGAGCCCCACCACTTAAATCAGTGTAATTTGTTCACGGATCTTTGGCATATTCCTTATTTACACCTGAAGATTTTATTTGGCAGGATAATCACTGCTAACGACAATGTAAAACTTTTGGCCTCTTTCGGGCTTTATTCTGTCATGCTAATGGCATTAAACAGAAGAATAACAAATTCTAATGGGGAGGGTTGAATTTCCAGGGCTAGACAAGTTTCCACTGGAGAAAGTTTTGAAATCATAAAGGATTTTAATTTTAGAAAAGAAATTATAGGGCACTGTAAAGAATATCAGAGAGAAAAAAATTAACTGTAGGGAGATCTTTATTTTCCCCCCAACTGAGATACAAATTCTCAAGATACAAGACTCAACTAGTCTTAAACTAGTTTCCCCATTGACAGAGACCATCTCTGGAGCTGCATGTCTTTGTAAGCGTCCCAACTCTTTAAAGTCATTGTTTTCCCCCAATGGAATAATATTTTAAAAACCATGAAAAGTTTTGGAAATGTGAGAAATAGGCTCTGCTGGTTTTGACCCTGATTCACTAATTAAAACGATCCCTCTCCTGTTATTCCCCGAGCTCTTTGCAATATTATAAGTTAATTCATATGGTTCTGAGCGATTATGCAAAACTAATTTGGACTGTCCAGGGGTAATTATCCCTGACACGGTTAATTAAATCCTTTCAGGGCTTCGTCTTTCCCTTTTGTAGCAGCCCATCACTTCTCAACACGGAACTTCCTGCAGCTCGCTGGAAATCACCCCAGCCCTAAATCTTAGTTACCTCCCTGAGGCTTCCAGCTCGGCCCCACCGGCCTGAAGACTCCCCGCCCCCTCCCCTTTTCCCAAAGATCAGCGTTTTCTGGGAGCAATGCTCCGGAGTGTGGATGAATGAGAAGAAGACTAGAAAGATGGGGAAGAGGAGGGGGGAGGCTGCCAGGGGTGAGCACACAGGGTCACATCGCCAACAGATTGTGCGGCTGATTGAGTAAGCCCACAGGCCCAGAGGGGTGACTCGTTTATCACCACTCTGACTCCAGTGGGCTTGCTAACAAGTTGGTGGGTTTTACGCCTGGAGCAAGCCTCCCGCCAAGTTAGACTGTGCAGAATTAAGAGGGAGCGACTCTGGGGCAAGAGGGCGTGGAGAAAGGGCCAGGGGTGTGTGTAGGAGGGCCCCACAAACCCAGCGCTGGGACTAGGCAAAGAGCTGCTGCTGGCTCGAGATCTCTCTCTCTCTCTGTGTATACATCTACCCATCCCTGTCTCTCTCTTTCTCCCCTTCCTCTCCTCCTTCCTTGCTTCTTTCCCTTCCTTCTTTTTGTTTTTCCGTTTTCGTTTCTTTTTAAGGTTTAAAAAAGCCACCACGCCTTTTCTTAGGTAGTCACGGTTGCCTAAGGGCTTTAAACAAGCTTCCCCTCCGAGGGGCCAGGCGCGTGTCGCCTTCGGGCTTTGCGCAAACAGGTGGAATGGTTCTGTTTGAGCGGTAAGGACGGGACGCTGCCGGGCACCGGGTGGCTTCCGGGGAGCAGGGGAGCTGGCCGCTATTGTCACTTCATTTGACAATTTCCTCTCCCCCCCTCCCCGCCCCTCCCCGAAACTAGAACAAGACAGCTCGGATCTCCCTCTCACTCCAGGCTCGGGACCGCCTCGGCGAGGGGCGCAGAAGATGGAGAGAAGATTCCACCGTCTTCCCGGAACAGATAGGGACCGGCGCGCCAGCCAATCAGAACGCGGCTCGGCGCGGGCGCTCCCCGCCGCCGCCGCCGCCGCCACCTCCGGGCCAGCGAGGTTCCCGCAACTCGCCCGCCTGGAGTGTCTATGTCCCTCCTGCGCCCGCAGCCCAGCGGAGGCCGGGAGCGCCGTCCAAACTTTATTAATCTCTCCCCCGTTCTTTCTCCCTCAGCCCAGTGCATCTCAAAGGTCAGCCCTCTTCTTTTAAAAGACTGATATTATTAATTCACTGACAATCCCTCCTCCCCCCGTTTCTTTTTTCTCTCTTGCAGGAAAAAAAGGGGGGAAATAGTGAAAAGAGCTTTTTTTTTTTTTTTATCCTTTTTCTTTCTTTCTTTTTTGTCCTTCAGTGGGAGCGTTTAGACAGTCGAGGAGGTTTTGTCCGGGAACAAAACGCAGGGTTGGGAGGTTTTGTGAGAGTGTTGTTTGTTGAAGTGGAGCTAAGAAAAAGCCGCGGCTTTCTCCTCATTGTGAAGAAACCAATCAGTGGTATTTGGAAAACTGTTAGCATTGTGCACTTCTTCTGTGTCCATTGTGAGGCGTTTCTTTTCACAAGGTTTTTTTTTCAGCCGATCCAGCTGGCCGGAATGAATAGCGGTGCAATGTGTACACGCTTTGTCCCTCCGGCCTTCAAGTAGCCCCCATTGAATAGACTAAGTTGACACTGCGTGACAGTGAAACAACATAATAAAAAATACATGAGCCCCTGAATAGGAGCAGGCGCATAAATAAATAAAATGGGTGACCAAAACTGGATAAACTGAATGACAAAACGGTGAAAGGGGAACAAAAAGATATTTAACACGCTAGATTAGCATTAGAATGCGATCTACAAGGCAGAACAATTGATGAATAGGTTTACCGGCCAAGAAAGAAATGGACTAAATGCCCTTTGAATAGATATGCTTTTTGCAGGGGCTTTGAATAGATATGCTTTTTGCAAGGGCTGAATGGGAAAAGGTAAAGATGAAGCTATGCAAATGAGCGGGGGAACTTTTTATATATATTCTTTAAACACACACACACTGCGGGAGAAGAGTGCGGCCTCGGGATGTTTATAGAAGCAATAATTGCCATTATTAGCATTGTCTGCAGCAGATAGAAAATGAACAGGTTGGGATAATACAGGGTAGCAGTAATTATTCTTCTAATTAATGGTCCTTTGCTACTTGAAAAAAGAAAAAAGGAAAGGAGAAGTAAAAGTTATGCAGAAGTTATGTTTCCTTGTGTCCGACTGCCCAGCGTTGGAATCTGTGAAGCAGCAAGTCTGGCGATTCCAAGATGCATGCTGATCTTAAAACATTCCGGGGAGCAAATCCTTCGGCTCTGGGGTTTCATTTATACTGCGTTTTTGAGAGTCTAATACAGTGTCTGGTACATGCTGGGTGCTGAATGAATTGTTGTGGAATGAGTGAATAAATATAAATTTAATGGGGAACCCGGGCGTCCTATGGATGTGGAGGAGGGGAATATCAAGGCCCAGTTTTGCCTTTCACCGCCCCTCCCCCCTTATCTAGGGAAGTGGTCCAGGCGGGAAGGTGGCCACCACCTTTCTCAGGATTTTGCCTTCAGCCTACCTGGGCTGCTGGAAAAGATGTGAAGACCAAATAAGCGACGACCGACTACTGCCCCCCCCCACCCCCATTCCATCTCTGTCCTCACTCCCAATCCACTCTAAAGCCAGGGCTTGTGAGGAGCCTCACCTGGTTGCCCAGAAACATTGTACCCACCCCCTTAAAGAATTAGACTACATTTAAAGCTTGGCTCTTTCGGTTTCTCCTCTTCGTCCCTGCCGCCCTTCCCCTCTTGGCTGTACGTCTTTGACTGAACCATGGGACAGAGAACCTCCTGGCTGAATTGCCGGCGGAGGCAGGGCGAGAACCGGCGGAGATCTGTGCGGTCCCCGGGTTCCCTGCACTGCCCTGGAGGCCGGCGTCCGTAGCAGCCTTTGCAGCCGACGATATCAATTGTTTTCTTTTTGATGGTTGACTGCCAGGCCTACCCAGCCGCTGTAGGGGCCACCCAGCCGTCGAACTTTCCAGTCACTTTCAGCGCAGCCCCTGACTTAAATGAATAATGCAAATTATAGATGGCCCAGCCGACAAGTCC